GGTGCAAAACTGTTGGAGACACCCTATTTAAATGATGGTTTTGCGCGGTTTTTGGTTTGCGGCAAAGTAGTTTGTAGTTTGTACAAACTAGTGCATTAAGAAATTTAAATCTTACAGCGACACCCCCACCCCCTCCAAAATAAATAAATAAATAAATAAATAAATAAATATATATATATATATATATATATAAAAACTTTGGCAACCTTTATTCCCTAAGGTGGTATATGTGGCTGAATTTCTACTTCAGTGCAGTAAAAAAAAAAACAAAAAAAAAAAAACAGGTGTTTTGTATTGGCCTGTAGAAAAATGCACATACCAAATGGCTCACAAGAAGTGACTGTGGATGAGATTACTGCACGTACGCATCCCCGCAGCATTGGCATGTTGTTCCACAGGCGCAGGGGGGAGGTCTGGTTTCTCCGGTAGGGCGTCAGGGCGACATGGCATTTAGAACGTCGGACAGCACTTCTGAAAAACGAGATTGGGAGATGCAGCTCTCGCTGCAACCGTACGCTGGAATGACCCAGATGCAAAAAAGTGCAATGTTGCAAGGAGTTTTGTGATATCTGGTATTGTGTGGGTCCTCCTTGTGGCTGGCTCCAAATCCATTCGGAGTTCCCCCAACAGCTCCAAAATGGCAATGCTGGATAAACGATATGTTTTGATGATCGTTTCCTCGTTCATTGCAAAAATATTCACACGGAGTGAAAAAATGCGTTCTCTGCGTCTCCTTGCTTCATTTCGATGTCTCCTTCTTGCAACAATAACCGCTGCCATGTGTGCGCAATTACGCATACAGACCATTTGCACCTTCTTTTGAAACGTGTTAAATATAGAGTCAGATACCGTTAGCAAAATTGCTTTCAGGTTTAATAAATCACTTTGCGAGTGCTAAATTCATATATTTACATGTTCTCCTCCCACAAGACGCACTTTTGCGTGTAAACGTCCCATATTGCATATTCATTGCAGGAAAAGTACTAAATGGATAAGAGGCGCTATTTAGCACGTTTTAAAGATCAAATCCTTTTAGCACGCTGTTGATAGATCAGTTTGTACATTTTTTAGCGTGCGCAGTGAAATAGCTCATGTTTTTATACACGCAAACCTTTGATAGATCCGGCCCTCTGTGTAGCTAATTTCATGTATTTTATCTAGGGCTGAAACAATGAATCATATTAATCGATTATTTAAATAATTATCAACTAATTTAGTAATTGATTAATCATTAATTGGAGTATAGGGCCACTAAAATGTGCCTTTAGCCGACAGAGCGACCCACTTAGAGCAGGAATTATACCAAGATTGTAAAAAAATATGTAAACATTTTGCATTTAAGACCAAAAAAAAAGTTTTTGTCTGTCAATATTCTCCATCCAGAACTCCTCAAGAGGAAATGTTTGTTTCACCTGGTTTCATTTCGTAAAAAATCTTCTTTAAGGAACCTTTGGCTGATGTGATAAATAATCGAATCATGAAAAAAAAAGAATCGACACATTAATCAATTTGCAAAATAATCATTAGTTGTTGTTATGTTCTACAAAAGAAATAAAACCTATTATTTATACCTGAACTGCCGTCAAAAATGAAAACATTAATAGCAAAGAAATATTGGTGAAAGGGAATCAGAAATGTTGATTGTTTACAGTCTTTGTTCATTTTAACAGCAGTTTTCAGAACTCCTGTCTGACTCAGAATATTTAGTTTAAGAAAGAAATCCTAACTTTGGTTACTTTCATTTCTCAAGTTCCACAAATCCAAACTTTGTCCTGTCTCTTTACAGAACTGCAATGAGAAGCTTTCGCCTGTTTTAGCCTAGATAATATTTAGTTTTAAATTGGAACTAGTTTCGTAGCCTAATATTAATTTTGGTAAGCGCCTTATTCTAGCGTCATTTTTTTTGTTTATTTCGCGCTCCAAGGACGCATACAGACTAGAAAACAAGCGATCAGAAAGAGGAAGGCAGAACTTAATGCAGAAATATCAGAGAGTGGAGTTAAACAGAGTTAACAGTTCCATGTGTTGCTGCGTGAAAGGGACAGGAAAGACCAGACAGCTGCTGGAGGAAAAGAAGCCACTGCTGCAACAACTACTACTAAATTATAATCATGTTGTTCACATCCAATCATTGGTTTATTTTGGTAGAGACATATCCCTATGGTCCCTAAACCTACGCCCATGATTTGGCTACACCAGGGGGGCTCAAGTCCAGTCCTCAAGAGCTACCCTCCTGTAACTTTTAGATGCATCTCTTCTCTAACACACCTGAATCAAAAGGTTTAATCCCCTCATTTAGCCCAGCAGATGCATGGTAACGAGCCACTCGTGAATCAAATGAGGTGCATCAAAAAGTTGCAGGATACTAGCTCTTAAGGACTTGACTTGAGCACCCCTGGGCTATAAGGATTTAAAGGAATCGGACCTGTAAGTAGAGCCAAACGTGAGGCTGAGCGACATGAATGTGCTTCTAGCTGACACCAAGGTACGTGAACTGAATTAGACCAGAAAGCAATTTCAGTTATGTTAGCTGCCCAGCAATAAAACTGAAAATTGGGTAGGCAGAGACCAACAAAGACCTTACAGTTCTGAAGTATTTTTTGTCTTACTCTGGGTGTTTGACACTCCACAAAAAGTGACAGCTGATTTACAAAAACTTCTTGGTAAAAATACAGGTAGACATATAAAAAGAAACAGAAATTTTGGCAACTGTTAATTAAACGGTACTTATTCTCACAATCAAAGAGAGTGTGAGGGACCCCATTTTTGAAAGTCTTTTTTAATGTCTACAAAGGGTGGGAGGAATTTTTAGGGCACAAAGACTTAAAACATGTTGACCGCAAGATATAAGATACAGTTGTTTTTTCTCTCTGCTTTTGTCTCCTTCAAACCCAGTCGGGCTCAGCACATGGCCGCTCACACTGAGCCTGGATCTGCTGGAGGTTCTTCCTGTTCAAAGGGAGTTTTTTCTCTCCACTGTCGCTACAAGCATGCTTAGTGTAAGGGATTGCATTCAAGTCAGTGAGTTGATGCAATCAACTGGTTTTCCTTAGATGAAAAACGCTGAATCAATCTGACTGGAGGATCTGGTGAACTGCAAAGTGCCTTGAGATGACATGTGTTGTGAATTGGTGCTATAGAAATTAACTGAATTGAAAATTTAATAGATACCGAAAACCCAAAGGGCAAGGCTTGAAAGGGACATCAGATTAAGAGAGCTGCAGTTCCAAATGGTTAACAGGATAACATTCACTCTTGGAAAAAATAACTTTACACCCTGAGAACTGGCCAAATCTGTGAAAAAATGTATCGATAGGTTCCTATTGGATCGGTGACGTATAAAAGCAAATCATCTGCAGACAACGGTAGCTTAGTTCTGCATGACTCCTAACAATTCCTTTTACACTAGGAGAGGTTCTCAGAAAAATACTCAAAGGATCTATTGCAAGTGCAAACAAGAGGGATGACAGGGGGCAGCCCTGTCTACAACCTCTATTTGAAAAGAAGTATCCAGGTTGGTTGGTATTAGTAATAGTACTGGCACAGGGTAGTTTATTAAGAAGGCGTATCCATGATATAACATTTTCCCCTATTCTAAATGTAGATAACAGGTAACTGCATTCTACTCGATCAAACACCTTTACAGCATCGATTGATATGACAACCTCAGGCGCAATTGTTGTCTCCCTTCCATAAATGACATTAAACAAGGTACGAACATTGTAATAGAGTTGACACCAGTCTGTTCCTTGGAGATAAGTGTTGGGAGAACTTGATCAAGTTGCTGGGCGAGAGCCTTTGTGATAATTTTTGTGTCCACATTTATTAAAGAAATTGGCCTATAGCACAGGTCTTCAAAGTTTTCCAGGACAAGGACCCCCAAACTGATGGCAAGATGGAGCGGGGACCCCCTAATTATATATATTGTATGAAATTGTGTTATATCAAAGTGATCCTATACTCACTGTATTACATATAGAGTAATGTAATGAAAGTAATTTCTCCTTGGGATTATTAAAGTATTTCTGATTCCTGGTGGATGAAACGGTGTGCAGCTTGAAAGAGCTCCTGTGTGTCGCTGAATGTCAGCATTGATGACTGAAAGACATCTTCTGCCTCCATTTATCTGTTTACTACAGTGTGTTGAATTCATGATAACATGGATTTAAAGACATTTCAGTTAGTGGGAAAAAAATTGCAGGGGGAATATTAAAACAAGTCTAATCAACCAAAACATTCGCGACCCCCATGCAGTTCCTCTGTGGACCCCTAGGGGTCATGGACCCCCTGTTGAAGACCTCTGGCCTATAGGAAGTATATTATATATGTAGATGCCTCATTGGACGCTGGCCGACAAGGCTAGAGGGCGGCCATCTTGGATCAGACCACAGTTCAGACAGGTGGTGTCAGAATGAATAGGAGATGCTTTGATCTCATTTTAATCACATGAAATACGAGATAATACTACCAGAGATAATACTACAATACTATCAAACATGTCAGAACCCTTTAAAATACCAAAAAAAAAATTATTTTGTGTATATATATATATATATATATATATATATATATATATATATATATATATATATATATATATATATATATATATATATATATATATATATATATATATAATGTGTTCAATCTAACTTAAAGGTAATTTTAAAATTTTTTTGGCCTTTGAAGTGGTTGTGACAAGTAACAGATTATTGTAATATAACCTCTGGTTCTTTCATGTGATTAAAATGAGCCATTATGACAGCAGCTGTCTGAACTGTGGTCTGATCCAAGATGGCCGCCCTCTGTGCACGTCGGCCAGGGTCCACTGAGGCGTCTACGTCTATAATGTACATATGTTTTAATTGGTCTACATCAGTCTGACGAAAGAAGACTAGAAGGCCTGTCATCACCGTCTCGGGCTCTTATTGGCCAGTACACCCATCCATCAAAGATTACCATGGCGACAGCAGGCATAGCGGCTCCGCTCGGCGATTTTGCTCATTCCGCTGAGTTCCTTCAGCATGAACCGGTCTGGTACCATGCTCTGCGTTCTACCGTCAGACTGAGTTGTTTTCTCCATGGTTTACTGAACTGGATCTTTGAACTTTTCTGCAAAGTTGGAACTCTGGCTCACCCGAACCGAACCATGATCCCAGAACTTCATGGTACCGGGGAGATCAGAAGCAGGCTGAGGAACCCCAGTCCAGGTGGTACCGCCGGCGGGGCGAACCAGGCCCGTTTTGTCAGGGGCTTGCTTGGACAGATCCAGACGCCCATCAGGACGGAACCGTTCACCGAGAACTACCGCATCATCCCGGGCCAGGAGCTGGGCAGGTAGGCGACTGCGCTACTGAGTTCTGCTCGGGGTTCGGTCCCGGATCAAAGTAGCCCGCTTTGGTTCCACTGCAACTGGTTCTGATATTTAGAGCTTTGATTTCAGCCTCTGGAATTTCCTTTCTGTCAAGTTTTTGATTTGAAAAATATATGTTTTTTTAGTAAACTAAACTAAGGTGATGATATTCTGACTGCAGACGCTGATGAATGTTTTGTTTAATATCAAACATCCTGCTGATGTTTTCTATCTAACAAACATTGATACATCAGTTGGAATCAAGCTGCTGCCTGCATGTTTGATTCTCATTCTTCTCTTTCTCTCATCTTCACACCTGAACAACAATTCAATTCAACTCAATTTATTTCTATAGCGCCAATTCACATCATGTCATCTCAGGTCACTTCACAGTTCAGCAGATCATCCAGTCAGATTGATTCAAAGTTTTCTATCTAAGGAAAACCAGCTGATTGCATCCATTGACTGGAAGGCAATCCCTCACACTAAGCATGCTCTTAGCGACAGTGGAGAGGAAAAACTACCGTAAAGAACTTCAATCTAATCAAAGTCAAATAAATGAAAACTCAATGAAATTAAACATTTTGAGGCCAGCAGTCGATTCCTGTTCCTCTCAGCAGGTATTTCATTTCCACTTGACCTGCGACTGAGAACTGGCTTTCCTTGATAAGTTAGATTATTTTACAGATTTTGTTTCATTAATTTCTTTCCAAAATGCATTTCTCACACAAGGGCGTAGGTTTCCTTTGAACTTTGGTAGTGACACCATTGGTCAGGTGTCATTGGTGCTATGCAATATGCATGCCCTTTTTTATACTTTATAAGAGGAATTCATTGTTTAATGAGAAAAGCAGCATTTTGCTACATTAATATGTTATTAGCGCTACACTCCCTAGATGCTGTTTATCAATGTTTGAAGTATCACCGGCTCTGATGAATGTGGAATTAGGACTGTTTTCCACTTTGTAAATGGTTTCATTTGAACAACTAAGACAGAAGGTAAATACAGTATTTTCTTATGAAGATATAGAATTGTGCAGAGGTAAACCCCACTCTCATATTTTTACCTACTATGCTCTTTCTGTATCAAACAAAATGTATACATTCATTAAAATATTAACTTCTGGGTTGTAGTTACTCTGTGTAGCCAATATCATGTATTTTATCTAGGGATGAAAAAATGAATCATATTAATTGATTATTTATATAGAGACTCTAAAACATAATATAAATGTAAAATGTGCCTTTCCCCAACCGAGTAACCCACTTAGATCCGTAATTATACCAAAATTGTAAAAAGATTTATAAACATTTTGCATATAAGATTTATACAAATGTTTTTGTCTGTCAATATTCTTCATCCAGAACTCCTCAAGAGGAAATATTTTCATGTCACCTGATTTAATGTCATTATTAATCTTCTTTAAAGAGCCTTTGTTTCTCCAATTAATCGATTCTTCGAAAAAAACGAACGACAGATTAATTTTACATAATACCCTTTAATGCAGGCATCCCAGATGGCCCAGAGTTCAGCCCACCACCTGGTGTCTGTCCCTCAGTCCATCTGGTTAAGACCGTAATATGCTGTCGGTAAGGGTCTCTGTGGCAGGCGGGGACCCTCATTAGGCCATTAGTAGGTAGTGTATTGGGTATGTTAGTATGAGCAGTCATGTAATGACACTACAGAACTTTTTATTAGTCGGGAAAACAGCAACGAGTGAGAGCGTGTTTCAATTCAGTTAGACTGAGAAAGATAATCCAACTTAAACAAACTGAATAAAGGTAATAATGAAGGTTGCTTTGGAGGAATAAAGCAAAATGTATCAGAGACCAATCAACTGGTTTTCCTTAGATAGAAAACTTTGTATCAATTTGACTGTATGATCTGGTTGAACTGTAAAGTGCCTTGAGATGACATGTGTTGTGAATTTGGCGCTATATAAATAAACTGAATTGAATTGGATTGAATTGGAAGCCTGTGAGGGAATGTTCTCAGAGCAAACACTTCAGTTTCAATTCAATTTAGTTTATTTCTATAGCGACAATTCACACTTTACAGTTCACCAGATCCTCCAGTCAAACTTTTCTATCTAAGGAAACTTATTGACTCGAAGACAATCCCTCACACTAAGCATGCTTGTAGCAACAGTGGAGAGAAAAATCTCCCTTTGAACAGGAAGAAACCTCCAGCAGAACCAGGCTCAGTGTGAGCGGCCATCTGCTGAGGCCGACTGGGGTTCAAGGAGACAGAAGCAGAAATAGAAAAAGTACCTCCCGTCTTCAACAATACCTGCTTAACGATGACTTTCAGAATAATAGACAGGTTTCAGATATTACAGGCTAACAATGGAACCAAACGACCCAATTATCGGTTACCATTTGCATGTTTCCAAGCAATACAAGGCCTTGTCTCTATAAAGACTCAAACTCACTGCGGATCCAGACATTTGAATTGAGAAAGCTTCCTGGAGAGGTGGCGAAACGTCTTCAGATCTTGGAAACCAAGTCCAGTGAAAAACTAAAAACTTAAACTTTTAAGGAATAGAAGAAGAAGCATAGATACAAAAGGTACCGGTAGCTGTAAAAGGCAGCCACATCCAGGAAACACACAGTGAGGCAGACAAGCTCCAAGCCAGCTCCCATGCCAGCGGATGAACACATCCAGCCAGTCACAGTCAGAGAAACAGGACTACACTGAAAAATAGGCAGATCTCCAACATCTATTAACTAAGGTGTTGTTGGCAGCAGCACAGCTGAGTCCCTATGTCCTCCAGCAGTCTAACGCTACGTTCAGATCACTAGCAGCATAAGCAGCTGGTTTACATGCAAAGTTAATAGTTGAGGCGCATCTTGGTGCAGTAAAAGGTGCTGCAGCGTGTTTTGAGCAGCAGGAGCAGAGCGTCAAGAGCCTCTGATGCGCTTCAGAAGCAGCAGCTGCCGGAGTTGGAAAAATTGAACCTTTGCAGCTGGAGGCGCCATATAAAAAGCAGAGAAGCTGATCAGGAATCTGGCAGGGAGTCAGACACAGTGCTGCTGATGCAGAGCGCTATGATCACTCCCCTGAAACAGTTTATTAACATCTATATCAACTTAAAATGTCCAATCCTGCCTTTTATTATCTTGGTGCCTTTGGATTATGTATTACAAAAATGTTAACATCTACTCCCAGCCGTTGCGAACAGTAGCAGCAAACCGCGAAGAGGTGACCGGGCCATAGGCAGCTGTTGAACGGGATTCATAGTGGCAGCGCGCCGCCGCTGTACGGGGGTCTGAGCGGCTCTGACAGCGAAGTAATATTTGAAGGCAGGATGGTAATCTGGATGTCATGCCATAGTTCCAGGCAAAGAAAGGATAGGGTAGCTCTGCCCAACGTGCATCAGACCCACTTTTAGACCGCGCAGCTAGAGCAGCAAAGATGCTTCAGCCGCGCATGAGAAGTAAACTTGTCCAGGCATCAAAAATATTTGCGGTCTGAATGTAGCATTAGCCTATAGCAGCATCACTATAGAGATAGCTCAGGATAACCTGAGCCACTCTAACTAGAAGCTTTATCAAAAAGGAAAGTTTTAAGCCTAGCCTTAAAAGTAGACAGGGTGTCTGCCTCACGGACTAAAACTGGTAGTTGGTTCCACAGGAGAGGAGCCTGATAACTAAAAGATCTGCCTCCCATTCTACTTTTAGAAATTCTAGGAACCACTAGTAAACCTGCAGATTGAGAGTGAAGTGCTCTGTTAGGAACATTAGGAACAATCAGATCTCTGATATCAGATGGAGCTTGGCCATTTAAGGCTTTATATGTGAGAAGGAGGATTTTAAATTCTATTCTGGATTTAACAGGAAGCCAATGAAGAGAAGCTAAGATAGGAGAGATATGATCTCTCTATAGTCGCCATGTTCATAGAGGCTTCCTTAATATCCATCCAACAACTTTTTAAATAGTCTGTTTTCACACGGGCTGTGAATGAGGGAGGCTGCAGGCTTTGGAAATGTGCTGATGCTGCTTTGGAAGGTGCTGCCTTTTGCAGCCCGCTGTGTTTTCATAAAGCAAAGCAAACTGCTTCGCCCTGCTGCTCAGGCCTGGTCATTACTCAGTTCCATGTTAAAAATCAGATGATATGCCTTTAATACAACGTTTCAGATAAGTTATCTCTTTTATTATTGTTGTTCTAGATGAAGACTTGCGGATATTTTAGGAAATAATTCAGCTGCTATGTTTGAAATGGACCTTCCTGTTTCATATGACAGTCAAACGGCACATCCAGTTCCCTTAGCAGTGTGATTAAAAGTAAACACTAGATCTGCTCATTCCAGTTGAAATAAAGTTGCTTTAAATCTGAGGAAACCTCCAGGCAGCAGCTTTAGCAGGAAAGCCTCATTTACTACGTTTAGATGGAAAATTACAAAATAAGTTTATTGTTTTTCTTAGAGAACATATAGTTGCCCGAAAGATCTGCCTCCTATTCTACTTTTAGAAATTCTAGGAACCGGAATAAAGAATAACCTGCATTGAACACAGGAGCAGCAGAAGCATCAGATGCAATTTACTGGATGTCTGACCTTAATGTGGACAAACATCATAAATGAAGCTGTAGGCGCTTTTTTGCTGCTAAAATCAGGGTGTGAACGCGGCATTACACTTCCTGATTGTTTGAATTAACCTATGAAACATAATATTGTACCTAAAAAATGACTTCATGCCTTTCTTCTGAAATTTCCACCTCTAGTCAAGCACACATATTTCCCATAATCAGGACAAAAGTAGTGTTGTAACAAAGACAAAAGATTAGCTGCACTCTACCTCTACATGCAGGAAATAGCATGTAAAGGGCATGTAAAGCCTAAAAATGTGACACACCAAGGCGTGCACCCTATGAATTATTCCTAGCTTAAAGCCTGGACGTGACCCATATCAGAATTGAGTTTGAATATTGATTATGATGTCACTCTGAACTAGCAGCTTAGAGCAAAAACCATTGAAACAAAG